GATTTATTTTGGTTAACTGCACATCCAATAAACTACAGAAAATCGGAGGAGGGCTGCAAGAGGGTTTAATCGGGGGAAAAAACGAGAGAGAGACGACTATGTGTAAATATTGACTTTTGAAAATCGAAATCGTCAAAATGCTCATAAAAGTCCAATGGAAACCGTTCAGCGCAGCAAATATTTGGCCCTCCGAGCAGACATGACTCCACATCCTGCCCTCTTACTCGTTTCGGGATTTTTTGACTGAATCCTGTTGCGGATGTGCATGACCATGGCAACATTGACCGATCCGCTTTTCCCTCCCCCCTCCTCCGCAGCAGCTTCCCCTTTCCTTTCTGACTTCAGCTTGTTGGAAATCACAGCGTATAAATAATGAAAAGCGATTTAATTTTTAACATCTGCAGTTTGTGTGCTGCGGAATAGAGTGGCGATGGCATCGCATGTTTGCCTCGACTTCTTTCCTCCTGGCATCGCATGCTGACCAATCCGCATTTCCCATTCCCCATTTCCCATTCAGTTTCAAATGCCAACCATCCTGGAACGACTTAAATGCTCAAATTTCACACTTCATTTGGGCACGACTTGCCTCTGTGAACGGGATTTCAAAGGGATTTGTATGGGGTTTCGCTGATGAAATTTCGGGCCATCAATTATGGACATTCGCAGGTGGTTGCGGTTTGCGGGCTGCAAATCAACAGTATGGTGTTTCACTAATTCCTTTGAGGCTTTATTTTCACCAAATAACCAAAATCAAACCACGCTTTAATCAAGCTTCGATTTAAAATACATTTTTTTAAGTCAATCTGTGTAAACAAACCAGTTTGTATCCGCAGAACGACAATTATTTGTCACCTGAGTTCAACACATAATTTTTTATGAGTTTTGCCATTAATAAAGCTTTTTCATTAAAAAAGGCTAAGAGGTGTGCAAATTAATTAACGCTTTTTATACTCTTGCAGAGGATATAATAATTTCGAAGAAGAAAATTCAAACCCCATAAAGTATATATATTTTTGATCAGTATCACGATCTGAAAAAGCCTTGCCAAGAATTTAACTTAATATAACTTCCATAATTCAAGCCCATTTTTGGATTTGGGTCACCTCTAAATGCTTCTGACATAGCCCCCTAAGAAATTCCATAATTAGTTTGGTTTCGAATTTTGGGTCCACTTTTTTCACATTTTTATGATGGCCGAAAAATGGCTATTACGGAGAATGTCACAAAGACAGTACTTGAAAGATCATACTTCAAAATAGGGAAAAATGAATAAAAAAAATCGTCATTACTTCGATGTTTTTAAGCCTTTATGCATTTTGTTCGACATTTGTGATGACTGCAAGAGTATAGAAGCTTCGGCTCGCCGAAATTAGCTTCCTTTCTTTTTTTGCATAAATTTTATAAAGATTAATCTATTTTTTGCGGTGAATTATATTTATGGTTAAACAAAGCAACAATTTCATTTAACACTCTTCGTGACCGAGAAATAAATATCAGTTAAGTATTTAAAGCTGTTTTTGTGGAAACTTATTCAAGTGTTTGTTGCCTTAAAACTCTTCGACTTTTAACGACCTTTGAAGCCCAGTTAAAGTTCACCAGCCACATTTGTTCATGTCCCCGAACATATTCCCCAAGCAGTTGTAAGCCGGCTTTTATGGGCATAATGTCTGAGCCATAAACGAAAGTTTGGCCATTATGCCATTTTCATATTTTAATTTAATGTGCTCGATGATTGAATCAGACTATGCACCTGAACTGCTTACAAATATGACTAAATGCTTTGTTCTTAGGGCCGCCTTAATTGGTTATAAAACTTGGTCGTTAAAATGTAAGTGATCCGTTTTCGAGCTTAAAGCGAAGGAAAACTTAGTTGCCGGCTTTCTTGGCTCCTCGATGGAGTGTAGCTTGCAGCAAGGTTGACATTCATTATGGCGAGCGAAAGAAGAAGAGCGAGACAAAAGCGGAAGTTGCTTGGCTCGCCATTTTCTTCCATTTCCGCCATCATCGCAGGGACAATGGCAACAGGCGAGGCGCTGAATTAGCAGTGGGGATTGTCCTGTCCAGTCCTGCAAAAACTCCGCCCCCCTTCCCTCCTCTCCTGTCACCCCCTTTGTGCCCCCCTTGGCTCATCAAAAACTGTTTGAAATGAGTTTTTATTAGTTTTCGTTGCTGCCATTTTTTGCTGTCACTTGTTGTTTCCTATCATCCTCTCTTTTCACAACCCCCATCCCCCTGATTGTGTGCGTGTTTGTGTGTGTGTGTTGGGTTTTTTTGTGTGCGTGTTAATTAAATTTCAAATGCACAAAAGAACTAACGACACGTTGAGAGAAGAAATTCCGGTTGGAAAGGGGATGGATGGCGGTCGAATAATGCCAAACCCATTCTCGCTTTAATTGCATCCATGTGTGTAAATGAAAATGTTTGCTGTGCTTTTCCTCATATTTTCCCTTTCGCCCAGTGTTTTGGCATTTTTGCATTAAAGCTACAAAAACAGCAACACCAACAACAACAATAACAACAAGGATAAGGGGCAAGCTCAGCGGCAAAGATTTAGTCGGACCAACGCCAAGTTTCGGGCCATAAACTTTATTCCGGGGCTTCCGAGTAAAATGTTTTCCTCTTTGCAGCCTCTATTTCTTGTTTTTTTTTTTCAGTTTTTCTTGGTGTTGTGTTGTTGTTTTGGCAGCATTTGTTTTGTTATGGTTTTAATTAAGTTTTAACTGGCGCTAGACCAAAAATGCACCACACCAGATCTCAGTTCCAAGCTCCAGTTGTTATAATTCACACACAACACATAGAGAAATTTACATATATATTTTATTTTGATTAACTGTGGGCTTAATTGTGTTTTAAATGGATCATGAGGGTATCTTGGCAGCGGACTAACTGCATTTCAACCTTAAAGTTTTCGTAGATTTTATTTTACATATACGTACGTAAATTTCCTCTACGTTCTCTAAAAATCATATAAATGTTAATCCAAGATTGCAGTATTTTTAAGTTCCATTGGTAATTGATTTTTGAATACATCTTAATATTAAAACAAGTTCTGAAAGGAGAAGTTTTGAACAAAGAAAAGTTTATAATACCAATAAACTGGTATTTCTTTAATATCCTTCGGAAAATGAATGTTTACATGAACGCTGAGTTGTTTTGAACATTTTGGCGAGTCAAAGGTTCCCCTTTTTTTCTGTGCACAAGCCAGGGAAACATACAATGGAAACCGAAACCTTGCCCATGAGGCAGCTTTCAGCTTTCGGTTTCGCTTGGCCTGGCCGGATCTCTTGCCAGTTTTGAGGAGGGGAACGGGTCCATTTCGAGGCTGCTGCTGCTGACAGGCGCCGGGGAAATTGATTAATGTGACTTGTAAATGGCGCCAGATGGGGGAATGGAATGAGAAAGGCTAGCGGAAGGCTGGGATCCCATGTAAACGGCCTAGAAATGTTGACTTGGAACTGCAGCAATTTGCGGCAGAAATTGTTGCGCTGAAAGTGTCATCTATTAGCCAAGGTCCTGCGTCCTTGGGCTGCGTTTAGTTAATAGCGTACACCATAATTAACAGCCGCCAAGCAAACAGCCTCAATGTTTGCTCCCGAATGAAAAATGATTTTTGGCCTTTGTGGGCCGCTTCACGTGGCAAGGCATCATAAATTTCCGAACCGTTCTCCCTGTTCAAAAATTTCATTATGCGAAAGTGAGTTCCGTTAATGTGTTTTCCGAGGAGGCGGCGAAGAAAACGTGGAAAACTCAAGAGGCGCCTCGCTAAACGCACCAAATTATGCAGGAGACAAACAGTAAACATTAACGACACAAGCCAGAAAAAAGTGGGAGGATCGTGGAAACCGTGTGTTTAATAATATTGTGTTAAACTTTAAAACTTAGTTTCGTTTAGAAATTTATGCAACTATTTCTAAGTAGAATTTACGACCCAGTTTATCGATGGCATTTGCCAAAAGTTTTTGCTTGTATTGCCACCAAAGCACTTTTATACCATAGTTATTTTATAAAAAGGTAGTGAAGCATTTAATTCCATTCGATTTATATGCTTTTTGAATTATTACAGCTTGTTTGAGGTACATGCCAACAACATTTTTGGCTTCATGTTGTGGCTGCCTTAATTGTATGCCAAAAATTGCTTATGCAACACGAACACCATTTTCAGCTTAATAATTTAATTCCAGTTCCCTTCTCGCTTGCATATAAATGCCTGTGTAAAAATAAGTAAACTTCTTCGTATTGGCTGCCTACGGAGTTCTGTTACGCGAAATTTGCAATTTCTGCATTAAGTCAACAGGGCGGATGGTTGATTTCCAGGCAGCCAGAGGAGAGGAAAAGCGGAAAAGCCCGGCAGAAGCGAGACATTTGCTGCGTTGCTGGCGTGACATTTGTTTGGTTTTAATTTCGGTTCAAAGGTTGCCATGGCTGCCAGACTCCCGCATCCAACATTCAGAATCCCTTTCCCCTTTTGCATCCCCATTTACGACCCCCTCAACCAACCGATGCGGCCGATGAAGTATTCAGGATGGACCAAAACACTTGCTGTCGTCGCAACTGGCGGATGCAAAATTGAAATATTGCATGAATTGCAGGAATGCACTAAGCCATGAAGTAACCACCGTCCCACTTGCCACATCCCACTCTCCACTTCTCCACTCTCCACTTCTCCACTCTCCACTTGCCACTCTCCCCTTGCCTTTCTCCAGTTGCCAACTGCCGGTGCAAAATGGGCATGGCCAACACACGACGTCGTGCAACTATTTAATAAACATCAGCAGGGGACTCCTGCCACCCAAACTCATTTTGGCTGCGGTCGGAGGAGCTTTTGATGTCTCGCTCGGTTGCATTTAATAAGCTGCTGGAACGCCGGCGGGGGAGCAGCAACAGCCGAGGGGGCGTGGCCGAGGTCCTTTGACTCCAAGTCAATGAGGCTGCCTTGGGGAATTCTGTGGGATTGGAACTGCGTCTCCGGCTTTCAGATATTCACTATTATTTATACGAACTTTACCCATGAATCACTATATATGTTTATTATATATTTAATCATTTTTTCTTAAAAGGCCAAAGAATTGAATTTATTGCACTGTTTGTTGGTTGGTTTTGAAATCGGTTGTCTCAACTAATTCTTTTTCATCAATAATAAAGTCGCGTTTCTTCGCACAACAAACTTGTTTCTTAGGACAAATACCAAATGGTCTGGTTAGGAAGCAGTCGGATGCAGGAAGGCAACTTGCTAAGAGCGAAGCTCTCTTCTGATCTTTATTGGTCTCTTCACACTCTGAAAATTATAAAGCTGTTGTGTATAAAAATGAAAAACAAGGCTATTTGACTTACTCAAGGGTTTGTACGCTGGCGTTGCATAAAACAAACCGGGCTTAAATGTGGCAAGGAGAAAAATTAAAACGAATTGCAGGTTCATTTTGTCGAGATAAGCTCAAGATAGTAAGCAGTATTGCATAGAAACTGTAATTAACCAAGCGACGCTGGTGTAATAACTTTAGTTCCGGCTGAATATGCCGACTTATGTAAGGCCTTCCCTTCAGCGCCATAAATTATATGGCCTTTCGATTTGTTTTGCAATCTATTGGATTCCTGCTCAGTTTACCTTCTGCAGCAAGTGCGAATGGAATACAAAAGAAAAATGTTGTTTGCGAATGTTGGTAAACAAAGAAGGAGCCCACTGCCAACTGCTGCCGCCACCTTATCTCAGCCCTTTCCGGATTTTCCAACAGCTCCGGCTGCTCTGGCTGGCTGCCAGCTGGTTGTTTGAATGGGCGGGAATCCACAATAAACCAGCACCGACCAGCAACCAGCACCCAGCACCAGGAATTGCGAGGAAGTGACGAAGGCATCTGGAGCAGCAGCAAAAGCAGCAGAAGCAGTAGCAAAAACCCAAAACTATTTGCACTCAACAGCGGCAACAAATGTTGCTGCGGTGTTGCCTTGTGCTACTTACGGCTGCCATTTGATGGCGATGTCGATGTCGATGTCGATGTTGATGTTTTTGCCCCGGCATCCTCGCCAGGTTTCCAAAGTATTCCTCCTCGCCGAGCTGAGCAAATATGAAGGCGCCTGGTGATGTGTTTACAAGTTTGTGAATTGTTGTCATCGTCGTCATCTGGCCGGGCTTCAACTAGGGCTGCGGCTCTCCCCAAATCTTGGCCAACACTCGGTCTCAGCCCGCTTTTCATTACCAATAGCTCGCAGTCCCCCTTTTCCCCTTCCCGCTCCCCAAATGCAAACATCAATCAAGCTGCATTATGCAAATATTCGCTTGAAAGCTGCAACAAAAGCGCATCGGGCGGGCAGCAGTGAAAAACGACAAATGGGAAATGGGAAATAGGAAAGAGGAAATGGGGTGAGGTGGATTTTGGGGACCAAAGATTGGAGAGCAGCCTGTCAGACGTCAAAAAGCAGTTGCTATCCGTTTCACCGCCTCCCATATCATCCCATCATCCATCGCCGCTGTCAGTTGCATTACTAAGACAACACGAAGGAGGTTCATCAGTTACACTTTGATAAAAAAGTGACTTTCCATTGAACAGAGAAGATTGAGTTTCGAAAGCTAGATGTATATCCTGAATTCCTTTAAACTAATTAACTGAAATTTATAATCATGATCTACATTATTTGTTATTCACAAGATTTGCTTAAGTTAAAAACAAATAATATTTTTAAAACCTTTTTTTCTAAGAAAAATACCATTATACGAGAAATTAAATATAAGTTCATCGTTGAAAAGCGGATTGAATTCCGAGCAAATTTTATTTTATTGATTACTCTTTGCTCCCAATATTTTCGACCAACTGCAAACAATTATAGATTTTGTACGTATAGAAAAAATAAGGAAAGTTCAAGAGGTGCAGGAGAAAGCCGGGGCAAGACAGCTGCCAATAGTTCGACTCGGCGGGATTCCTTCCCAGGGATTCGCCTGCGCTCCGTTCGCCTGAATTAAACGATAACGAGTTTTGGCTTTCATCGCTTCATTTTGAAGCTAAAAGCAAGTGAAGGGTTGCTGCCTGCCAGCGCCAGAAAAGCTAAGAGCCAAGAGCGAGCAACTCAAGTACTGAGGAACCGAAGGGCCAAAAGCCGGCTTTTGTTTATGCGTAAAGTTTCGCGGCTGCCGAGGAAGGCAAGGCGAACCCGAAATATATGGGTGTTGCATTCGGCGGGGGCAGGGCGAAATTAAAACGTCTGCAGCAATTTATGCCAATGCTTTAAAGGGCAGCTGCGCTGTAGGGATTTTGGCCCCCTTTTGGATCCCGCACATATATGCACAGTATTGAAGTGCCATACAGCGAATCCATATTCCCGAATTCCATTCCATTTCCCCTGCTAACTTTCTGCGGGAGTGGAGTTCAAACTTTTTCGCTGCTGACAATAAACAAAGGCAGGACCAAAAAGGAATGAAGAAATCCCCTTTCTTCAGAGGACTTCGAGTCGAAGGCGTTTGGAGCTGGGGGCGTGGCAGATTTCAGCTTGGCTCTCATCTGCAGTTTGTTTAGCTGGCAACACTTTGTCGGAAACTTTGCATAAACTTTGCGCTTGCCTTGACTTTTTTTTTGTGCTGAAAAATCCCGTCGAAAACTTTGCAAATTACTTTTACGATTTCCGAACAAAATGCAGAACATACAAGACCAAAAATTGCCGTGTGCCGTTAATTGCAAGCAATTTGCCCTGCATTAAAAGTTAATGCCAACTCCGAATCCGGAAAATTCGCAGCTTAAATGCAGTGCCCGCCGAAGGTTGCGATTTAGTAGATTTCCCCGGGAAAGTTTGATAATGACGAAAGCCTGTTTTGAAATGAACATGCAACTTTGATGCCATTACAATCTTAGTTCAATCCGCCCCCGGGGCCACGCCCCACCTGTGCATAATCCTTCAGCTGTTAAGTAGTTGTGCTGGGGAAATAAACAATTTAATTAAGCGGTGCGGCCATGTGTCTGCAAGTGGAATCAAATATGCGTAAACATCGGCTACAAGATTGCGGCGCCTCCGCCCCCGAAAACCGAAAGATACACCCTCGAATACATTTCTAAACACGACGCAGGCATGCGTAATTAAATTTACATGAATTTGATATTGAGCACACAGCACGCACACACACACACTCACACTCGCAGACACACACAGACACGCACTCACACATGGGCGATTTGCGCGGCCTGCAATTAACGTTGCCTACTTGCCGGCGCAGAAAGCAGGAAGCTCGCATTTCTATTGCCTGCTTTTGAGCGCTTGGCTTGGAATAGAAGTCTAGCATTTCAATGAATATCACAAAAGTCACAGTTGTGGTTATCATAATAGCACTTCGAATTCAAAGAAAAGGCTTTCGTTTTCATTGTATTAAAGATGGTGATTATTGCGAACATAAAAACAACTAATTGTACAAAAACTAAGAACCTATTTAAGCTTAAATTAATCTTAATTGCAAGCATATCTATATTTTAGAAAACTATTTTCATTTTTGTTTTATTCGTTTGGCCTACATAATTTTCAGCCCAGCTGTAAGACACATGTGTAAGTTGGAAAGTGAAACAACGTACAGACACAAATGAACTGTTGCGAAAGTTCATTGCGAGGGGAAAACTTTTGGCATTGTCTGATTCACTGCCCCTCCCCCCTAATTGCCTGCGACCCCGCCCCCCTTGTCGAGTTGTCGAGCCCAATGAATCTCTAATTTGGCGCATTTCAGAGTTCATAATAATTAAAATTACGCGCTGTCTGCAATGTTGTTTGTCCCCGCTGTTGTTGTCCTTGTTATATGTATTATTTATGGCTCGCAAAACTTCGTCCTTGCGACTTTTGCCTTTGACTTGATGCCAACTTTTCGGTTTTCGTTCGTGGCATTCATCAACTTTTTGCGAAAACGTCACTGAATCAGACATTCAGACAGGGGCCAAAGAGTTATAAATAGAGATATGAGTCTGTGCTTTTGTCACACTCCGAATCGCAAATCTGATTATGAAAAGCGTTTAATTCCTCTGAATAATTGCATTTTTCGGTGTACGTTGATTGAAAAACTTATATATTTTATATATAGCAAACAAGCTGTTGGAAACGATGTTGGCAATTTTGTTTGACAAGCACACGACAACAAAGGCGGCATTTTGTTATTATTTTTGTTATTATTCCAGCTCTTGACAATGTCAACAATTTTGCGCTTTTATCTGTTTGCACAGCAGACGGCTGCTCCCCGTTCCGCTCCCCCTCCCCCTCCTTTTCCCTTCTGTCTACGGTTCAGTGTGTGTTTAACATAAAGCGATTAATTGCTTTTCATTAAACGCTGCTCGTATTCCCCAGCTCATTTGCTTACTCCGCCTTTTGCCAGCTGCATTTATTTAACTTTTAATTTGAAGTCGCGTGGGAGGCAATTTCGAAATGTGTTTACCTTGGCGAAAACGACTTATCCCGGGAACTTTAGAGTACTTTTAAGTAGGTCTTGAATAAAGTTCGGGGACAGAATATTAAGATCACACAAAAGTGTCTTCATTTTGAACAGAAAAATATTTGTAGAAGCTTTTTTACAAGTGATATACTAATAATAAAATAAGTATGTAAATAAAAATTAGCTAGATGTAATCAAAATTATTTTGCTGAATATATACACATTAATTTTTTACTTAAATGCAAGATTTTTCTGCATTGGTTCCTATTGAAGATATTTTTCTTCACCTTGAATACTTTATGTGACAAAATTCTCATCAATAATAATAACAAATGAGCGGCATTTGCTGGAGTCCTTTGTAATTGGCCGTTAAGCAGTCTGGGCCATGAAAAATTCCGTTTGGGGCCAGACAGGTGAGCAAACAGTCACTCATCTGGCAAACATTCCGCCAAGGCAACGCCCAGTTTACAGTTCAAAGGTTGCTGACTGGAGGTCAAGGCCGAGCCTACGCAGCCGAATCTGCCTCAGAAACTGAGGCAATCTGAGACATTCCTCGGCTAGACGAGACAACAAACAGCTGGCCAAAAAAGTAATTGGCGTGGGCCCCACTGCAGGGCAATCAAGCGGACGAGCTACCCTGGCCAATACCATTTCGATTATAGCCGATATATCATCGTAGTTCAGCTGTCTGCTTACCAATCGCCTTTTTATGGCCAAGCGAAAAGCCATCAAAAGCAATAGAAACTTTACAACTTGCAGACATCTTTTGGGTCAGCGCAAGAATTTTGAACTCGACTTGACTTCATTGATGGCCAAGCCAGTGGGTACGACGCTACTTGTGTGTAAGTTGGTGTTTGCATACGATATGGAACATTGGCCCTAAGCTGAATGGCACATTGGCCATTGGACACTGGACATTGGCCATTGGCCATTGGTAATCCGACGGAGTGGAAGCTTGGGGGAGGTGCCACAACAGAACTGCATTGAAATCAAGCAAGCTCTTGACTTGAAGTTTCCGAAAAGCATTTCCTTGTCACCATCGAACTTTTTGCTCCCATTGTATGGGTTTTCGCCTGCATTCCGCTAAAAAGGAGGACCAGCCTTAGCCTTGGCCCCCCAACTTGGCCCAATCGACTTGGCTAACAGCGTTCTGTTAGCGACCACGTGCTTTCCTGCAAGTTGGCGATTCTGCGCAGTGCGGCGTTAACCTCTCAGCGTTCTGTTCCCAGTATTCGGCCACGGTGCGTATGATTGATAAACCAAAATAAATATTTGCCAGCCTCCGCGGTGCATAAAGTGGCCCAAAAACTCAGCGAAAGCTGAGAGGAGGCATCGCACTTGAGGTTTGGGGACTCGGGGGCTTTTTTAGGCGTTGGTCGCCTGTCGTCGAGGGGTTGTGACCCCTCCGAAAGGGGGCTTTCCACCAAACATCTGTGTTACACACACACAAATACACACACACAGGGATACGAAACACAGACTGACAGCAGTGACCTTGAGCAGGCTTTTGCATTGCCTGTAAAACAAGAGAGCGCGTGGCTGTGTGTGTTTGTGTGCGTCACGTGTAAGCACCCTGCAGTTCCAAAAGTGTCTTGTCTTAGATGACATGGACGACTACCCACTGATGCGAGTGTCCGAAGCACCTGGAGCCGCACTGGTGCCATTTCATATAAAGCTCTTGTATAGCATTTAAGGATTTGACATGCATGCCGCTCTCGATGACCATTTTGTCCGATTCATCGAACGTGGCATCGATGGCTTATACGAATTTTGTATGGAGAAAATTCGTATAAGCTATTGATGCTTTCGTTGCTGACGTGGAGGCAATGTTGTCATCTATGGCAATGTCTAAAATGTCATCCCCAGATTCATATGAAAAACAATATACTTGTATATATATATTTTTTTTTATTTTATTAATTAATCTTATTTTGAAACATAAGAGATAAGTACATAAATAATATGAAATTAGAAAGTTTTTGTTTACCATTTATGTGGAATATTTGCAGGACAACGGCTGTTTTGCGTCCATCTATGGAACAAAAAATATTTTTATTATTACATATTATAAATGTTTTACTTTTTTTAATTTAAAGCAAACTTACCTTTCAAACGATTTAACCGTACATACAGGCTGAATCCTAAAAAGATTTAAATAAGTTTGTAGTAAAAGACATAATATTTGTGTAATCTTAACGACACTTACATGATTTTTAAACAATTCCGCTGCCCGTTGCGCAAATTAAGTAATTTCACAACTAACTGTCATCGCACAACGCAAAAGAATGAGCAGTTCAATTTTATTTTGCACCCTTTTAGTATACCCTTCTTTTTTGGGTATAACAGACGATAAATGACACGCGAGTTATATTATATCTATATTTGAAGTTAATGTTATGTTATGTTATATCTTGGTTTAATAATTTAAATAATGTTGTATATATAAAATATATTATATATGTATATAACTTAATATATATATTATATTTAATATTTTAAGAACTTTAACATCAAAAGAGTATACATAAGTCGAGCGCCCCTTAGCTGTATTTTCCATCGAAAACCAATTTTTTGTTTCTAACGGAGAATGACAACAGTGCAATTAGAAAAACGAAAGAATAGAAGACAAATTTGGAGTCGGGCCGCCGTCGGGTGGAAGCAACGAAATCGTATTCGAAGAGTGAGAAAGAGGGGGAAACTTAGGAATATCCCTTTTCCTTTCCTACACATTGATTGCTTGTATGCCAAAAGACACCAGGTGACAGCCAGAACTGCAGGGCAGTTTGGCTTATATATGTATATCGCACAACTATATACAAATATAAATACGAGTATAGGTGTTTCCTCTGCGGATGGGCCTCCCTGGCATTGTAAAAACTAATGGAAATTTAATTTCTGTTTGGGGTGGCATTAGCATTTTCCGAGTAGTTACCATGATTATGATGCTTATTACTTTATGAAGTTTAGGTTTGTGGGCGACGGTGCTTCAAATCCGAACTCAGGTGTCGATTAAAGCTGATTAACTGAAACACACCAGCTGCCGTGCCAATTGTGGTTTGTGCCCCCCATTCGAACACCCTGCCAACTGCCAATGCATTCAATTCCAATTACAATTTAATTGTCAAGGCAGCAGCACCCGGAGGATCTCGACTGGATTTGCAACTGTCAAAGTGACAAACATGGGGCACCGCCTCCTCAGCCAGCCAGTCATCCACTTATTTATGCCTTTTGAGCATTTGTTGTGCACTCGGAGTTACCCAGCTGAAGTCGTGTGCAGGAGGAGCAGAGCCACACACATAAATTGCTTTTGACATGCTCCGTTGACTTTTATGAGCGGGGATTGTCTTTGGCCCTCCTCCTAATTAGAGCCATGTTTTCCGGGGAGTGGGCCAAGTTGGCCGTCACTCTGGGCTCCTTCGCTTAACAAGGAGCCATGTCAGTGGCAGAATCCTGCAGAACTGCAACCGCAAAACGAAAACTTTGCTAAATAGAAATGTTGCAAAATATTTTGAAGCAGATTCCGCTCGCTCTAACTCTTCGTTTTCCATTTTCCATTTCCCCCTCTTGATTTTCCCTTCGTCTGGGCAAAACAACTTTTTGTTTCGTTCAGGTTAAATGCTCGCGAATTGTTTTTTGGCCAGCAAAACTTTGTGATTTAACTGCTGAATAAACGCCAACAGGGGAGCGGGCGATTTGGGCGGAGCGGAAAGCAGAATGGGAGAGTGTGCCAAATATTTAAGTGAAATTCTTTTTCAGCTGACTCAGCAGACAAAGGATCCTTGGCAGTGTCCTGTCGACTAGTTTGTCATTTGCGAGCGCACTTAACGACCAAATGCTAGTCAGCATTCGGGAGCTGCTGTCCCTGAAAATTGGGATACATTTAATGCTCTTAACCTTTTTATGCAAATTACATTTTCTCGTCTATCCACTTCCGGGTTGGCTCGCTTCCTTCTTTTTAGTCACATTTGCGGCTAGAAGGGCAAACATGGATTCTGCTGCGGTCTCAGCTTTTTGTTCAGCTTGCTAATCAGTCTGTTTGCTTTGGACCCCAGGACTCTGTCCAGGACCTGGGTTAATGAGCAGGGTATTTTTTAATTAATGCACACATGTGGCGTATACGTAATGCGGGCTAGATCAACCGCAGCGCCAATTAAAAATTATTTAAACTGTTTTCGTTCGTGGAGGAGTTGAATGTTTTCAATAGAAAAAACCCCTACTAAATTATCTTATTTTTTTGATTATAGTGGGTTCGTTTATTTTGTAGCTAACTTAAAATTCAACATTTCCATCCAAAGGAAAGTGAAGAAGCATCTTGTTATCCAACTATTCTTTTCTCTGGCCTTCAGATTTCCTTATACATTTCTTGCGTATTGTTGCTAGTTTATTTGCCTCTCGTAAGTTAACTTTTTCCTGCTTATCCAAGCTGTTTTTCATGGAAAGTTATGAAAAATATAAATTTGAGAGCAGCAAACGAAGTGCCTGGAGTGGTCAGGAGAAGCAAAGAGGCCAAGGCGCCTCGTGGTTGACCGACAATTTATTACAATCACGTCAAAACTCATTTGAATGGGCGCAGTTGCTGGTCATAAATCAGATGCTGCACTGCAGCTGATAATGCTGAAAGTTGGGCGGGAAAGTAAGTTGGGCGCTGGGCGAGGCTTTAACCCCACTGTGGGCGAGCGGCTCAATTGAATTGGCCGCTGACTTCTGGCCAAAAAACACACGATCCAGAGGAGCGGGATGCGCTGCTCGGTTTTTCGGTTTCGCAGTTTCTGGGTCAAAGGCAAATGGGTCAGACGTGGAGGAGCCCCAGCTGGAAGGCCGTATAAATCACAGCGAAAGTTGCCGAATATGAAAAGAGAAAATCGCTTTAAATTTTATTTCAGAGCACCTAGGGAAAAGGTAAAAGAATAAAAACCAACTTGCAGAGAAGAGAGCTCTCGTAAAATTCAGAATTTCGAGTTGAATATTTCCATAAAATGCGGAACATATTGAGAGTTTTCTAGAGGGAAATATTATGCCTGCACGAGTTTAAATTTATTTAAACTCTTCAAAATTTACCTGACTTAATTGTAAAATTATAAATTATTTACGTTTATTAGCGTAAGAATGTTAAAAGTGCACCTTACTCTGTATCACCCATTAAATAAATTTCAACTCTTTAACAATACAATCTAATTTGTGAAAAAGTGCAGTTTTACCAAGTAATTAAAAAACTAAAGAACAAACATCCGCAACACTTTGCATGATAAATGATTTTGCAGCTCACAAGTAGTTTGCTAGTGGGTTACAAGCTCAAGCTCAAGATCAAGATCATCGGATTCCCATGCCATGGCTGCAACATGACTTGGCTATATCCGATCCGCTGACTATATAAACCGAGCTTTGCATGGGGTTAAGCCATCAGTTACTTCTGAGCCAGTTCCAGCTACAGATATCTAGTTCATCATGCGCTTCGCTCTGCTCGCTGTCTTCCTCTTCGGAGTGATCTTTGCAATTGTGTCCGCCGGTGGAAGCGGCGGAGGAGGAGGCGGTGGCCAAGGAGGCTGGCAGAAGAATGGAGGTGGAGGAGGTGGCCAAGGAGGCTGGCAACAGGGAGGAGGTGGCCATAAGCAAGGAGGAGGAGGCGGCGGTGGCCAAGGAGGTTGGCAGAAGGGCGGTGGCGGCGGTGGCAAGCATGGAGGCGGTGGAGGAGGTGGTGGCAAGCATGGAGGCGGCGGAGGAGGTGGTGGCAAGCACGGCGGTGGCGGTTGGTAAATCCCAAAGATCCTCGAACGAAACACTGAAAATACTCCAGCGGCTACTCAAATTCTGATGCAACGTATCACTTTAAAATCTTTCTTCAGCATTGCTGATCTCCTAACAACAAAACCTCTTTGTTCTGAGCTCAATTGTTTTAAACTAGCAACATTTTTTCTTTCTCTTATTTGAATAAATATTTCGTCTTGCAAATCACAAAACCATATTTCCTTTTTTTTTGGTGGGAAAATATTCCTATGTTGTTATTTTGATTGTAAACAAAATACACTTTAAAGTTTGCTGCTTCCCTTACTATTTTTCGACTGCAATATTTTTATAGGGGAAGTTATAGGGGAAGCTAAAAATTCATCGATTTAAAAACCCAACAGCCATTTAAAGATAAACTTTTGCATCCCCGTTTTTCGCCCAAGTTGCATAACAAATTAAATTTGTATATAAGCACTGCCAACTTTTCCTGCTGCATATAAAAATCATTATCAATGATTTTCCGGCCACACTCAAGAAGCTGCATAAGCTGCACAAATTGACTTGTTTATGCGATAATTTCGTGGAGAAATTCGATTATTTAGTGATTTCCAAGGATTTCTAAAGAGTGTCCTGGGAAAAGCTCCAAGAAAATGTGGGGGAAACACTAAAATAGGATGGCCTGGGCAGCTCACAGCTGCTTGCAGCTTCACATGCCTGGGAAAATAAAACAAGATTTATTTAGTTGGCCCGGCATTAACTGTTGCCCTTTTGTTATGGCCAAGATGCCCCTTCCTTAACCGACAGGAACTCTTCTATAACGACTTTGTATGCATGTGTGTGTGCCGAAGGAGCCAACACATAAAACTCAGATGGGTTTTCTTTTCATTAAAAGCGGATTTACGCACACACAAAGTGGGGAAAGGTGGGGAAGAGCGGAGGACGAAGGACGAAGGACCTAACTGGGAAGTGAGAGCAGCTTATTGCACAATAAACACGAACCCAACCCCAGCGCCATGTATGCACACAAATTATGAGGCTGGCCAGGCGAAGAAAAGTCCCCTCGGTGTTCAGATGCTGACTCAGCTCCGAGAAGTTTCCCTTTTCCGGCACTGCTAAAAAATAAATTAAATTGGCCGGCTACAATCTATTTTATCTCTTGAAAGTTGGTGCTAACACAGTTGCATAGCAATGGCGATAAAAATATTTTTTGTAATAGTTTAGTGGATTTTTAATACAATATCAAGGGAAAGGAAAGTGGTGGCAATAATAAGCTTGACTGTTGATACCTATAATAGTCATTGAAACACAAACATTTATCCTCAGGAAATTTAAATAAAAATTTACTTTTAAAAAGATAAAAAGTTCGATTTTGTTTGCAACAAAGTTCAAATAGTTGTAGTGACTGCTAGTTAGGTCAAAAATACTTTTGGAAAAGATTAAATTTATATAAAAACATTAATTTTTCTTTGTGTAAAGGGCGAAGGCGATAACGAATCCTCAAAGGCGAAGGATATGTGGGGTGCCTTTGTGTGCGTGCTCTAGTCGTCAACTGGTCAATGTTGTCACAGACGAATGTCAACAAGAGATAAGCCATTCATTTTATTCATTCATTCGGGGCCAGCCTCCCACTCGTACCTCACTCGTAACTTCCCTCGCTCGCCGCCTTTGGCAGTTAACTATTCCGTAATTTGAGACTTGTTTGCTGTCACTCGAGACGAAAATAATCGACTTTGCCACGCCGTCTACTCGCTATCTTTATATATATATCGCCATCCTCGACGAAATTCGGGCGCGACTTGTCTCCGATTTCGTGGGCAGGACGAGTAAATAAAAACACGAATACGAAGGCCAACTTTGAGGTCCGAAGGATTGAATACCCTGAAGGATACGTCAATTATCGTGACCATCGGTTTACATAAACTCTGTATATATATGCAGTGTAAACGTATTTTATGTAAGATAAGCCCTATCGATTCGTGGAGTAAGCTGTCTGCAGCAGATAAAAGTTATTCCGTGCTGATTTTAATGAATGGTTCAGATTTCTATAAGTTAAACTAGTTCTTTCACTTTGCTCAGAGAGCGTTTGATGCTGTTATGTAAGCTATCAAAAAGTACTTTGTGTTTCTTAGAACTATAATGGCTCTTAGGTATAATCAAATTCCGCCACAGCTACCCTAAATTGCAAAACTATTTTGCAGGGCATTAGAAAAGAAGTGAAAGCCATGTTTTGTTATTTTTTGTGCCATGGCTTGAATGATTATTTTTGTGTGTCTGCGAGCAAGAAACCCAAAGTCCTTTGCTAATTATGCCACAGAGTTTTGCTGTTGACTTTGCCCAGCTCTTGGAAATAAATGATAGGATGCTTGGTCAGCTCATTCACATCCTGGCCATGTTTGTTGACCATTTCTTGGGGCTCTTGGCCATTTGCCCGAGACAAAACAAATGTTGCTGCATCCGGAGCAGTTTTACCCGTTGTCCTGCCGTTTGGCTGGCTGTATTACTCTATGGCTGTATGGCTGTATGGCTGCAGGGCTGTCTGACTGGCTGGCTCGGCCTTACACATGTACCCGGTTTCGTCCTGCGGCGACCGCCTCCAGTTTTTCACTGCGGCCACGCCAAATGCATTTTTCAACTGCTGACCGGAGCAGCGTCAAGTGCACTACGAAAAATTATTCAAAGCATTTGTTTCAAACTGCATTCTCCTATTGCAATAACTTTAATTACCCCAAAACACATATGAACTACGCTACAAGTAAGCCTACAACATCTAAACCCTGAAAATAGTATATCTTCTTTCTATTTTTTAAGCAATTCAGAAAATTCTGAATAAACTACAAGAGAACATTAAGCATGTTTACTACTCTTTTAAGTAATGTACAGTAGAATCCGGTTATAACGACTTCCAAGGGACCGACCATTTTTCGTCGTTATAACCGGAAGACGCACTAAGCAAAAAGGAGGAAAACAATTTTTTTTTTTTTGATTATTTTATGGTTGCTGTGTTTGTTATAGGTTTTTAAAATAAATCAAATTAATTTTTTAATTAAAACGAAAAATTTAATAAATTAAATTCAAAAACATAGGTTTTTCTAAATACTGAAAACTGAATGAGCTTATTATTGCACATATTGCATTTAGCAAATTAAAACATTCAGTTTTACTCGGAAAAAAGAAGAAAAAACTAGAAATATAACGGGACATCTCATGGAATAGACTATGAGGTCTGCACACACAGTGTGACGTCGGCATTGCACTTCGACTCTCTCTCTCTCGCAGCAGCGTTGTTAAGGCGACAGCTAAAACTAACAGAGAGTTGTGCCAGTGCAACATCCTTCGTGTCGCTGCTACGCACACAAGCAAGGGTGACGTTCACTGACAAATACATACATTTCTAACAGCGTGTTTTGATGCTTAAATTTGGAACTATGGCACTGTATTTTTTCCGGCACGACGCAATATCCGGTTAAATTTTTCAATTTTCTTGAAAAATTTCATTCTTATAAGCGGTTTGTCGCTAAAAGCGGAAACGCTCTAAGCGGAGGCCCTTTCATATAACTTTGTATGGGGACCAACCAAACCATCGAGTTTTCGACGCACAACCCGGACGGACACTATAAGCGGAGTCGTTATAACAGGATTCTACTGTAATTAACTCTCCAGAGAACCTTATGATGTATAACAAAACAAAGAGAGTTTTTAATGGCTTGTAAGCCCTTACAATCTTTAAGTAACATCCTTCTTAAAGATAAATTCCCCGTTGAATATCCTCAGTGTTGTGATGACTTTAGAGCTGAAGCTTCTGGTCGGTCGCCCGCCTCGTTAGCCACATCTGCTCAAAGGGCGGGGGAATGGGGAGGTAAAATGGGTTCGGGCCAAATGTTGCACGGTGAAAAATAACAGAGCACCGGATGTGTCGCCTCCCATTCCCGACAAGCATTCAGTTTGAGTGCTGTTTGACTTGCGTATAAATGCAATTTACAGTTGCAGGCGACGCCTCATGAATTTTAAGGAGCTGGCAACTTGAACTGGCTGCCACGCCCACCCGAAATTACTTTTACCAGCCCCGCCCCCCACCTTTCCCTCCTCCACCTTTTTGTGTGTGTGTTGTCTTGGGTGTTTGCGATAAATGCTTTACTTAATTGTGTGAACTCATTTCTGATAGGTGGGCGTTGTGTGTGGCTTAAATGCAAAACGCAAATGCAGATGGGCAAACGAAAATCGAAGAATCGAATCGTTCAGCTACAGTCGCATATTGCGTATACGCCTACGTGCGGGGTATTTACAGTTTGCTGGCCCTTATTTATTGCACATGTTTTTATTGAATTCTTCGGCAGACAGGCAGTCAAAAGGGAGCAGTGGCGGCGTTATAAATATTTATACCCGGACGTATAATATTGCCGGCATTGTCCGGTGGGAGGGAACTTGGCCAGGAACTCCCTTTGGCCGGTGGCCACAGCTTCCCGCTCCTTAACGCTTTTTAAATTGATTTCTCGCATCCATTGTGCCACAGCCGCCACAAACAGACAGCCAGCTTCACTCCCAACCATATATAGGTATATATATATATATAGATTTATATGTATACCCATAGCTACAGCTTACAATTCCGTGACCCTCGATGGCCAGGCATTTATCTTGCGACCCTTTTGGGACTTCGCAGCCCTTTCGCCTTGGCCAGAAATTGGCTTGTCCGCACTTAAATAATAATCAATTCTATTAAATTATTGAGTAAGCTGCTTTCGCTAATTGTGGGTGGCAAGCGGGCGGTCTGAGCCAGTTATTACAGCTTATTTGGGCGAACTTTTCTTATTTTCCCCTTAGCTGCCTCCTTGGCCTGTCATTGTGCCTGGATAAACTTTATTGCCAACTTTATTTTCGCATTTCCTTTCAGGATTTGTCACTGAAGTCCCCGAAGCGTTTTCTTCGCGCTCCCTCTCTCTTTTTACTCGATATTTTGACGGGTATCTGGCGCATTACTGTGATTATTGTCGTTTCAAAAAGGATGTGGTTACAGGATACGCTAACTACATTTGCCACATGGCTGCAGTCCCTTTTCGATCCGCTTTTCACTCTGTTATTTCGACTGGTTTGAATTAAATTGCTTGTCGGAGATAAATCAACAGAGGGCGCATATATTATATGCACTTTTTTATTTGAGATTTAATAAACGGAATGGCGAGATGGGAAATGCAATAAATAAATATTGCCTGCAGACAGCCTGACAACTCTTTAA